AGTGCCACGCGGCAGCCAAGTTTAACCGCTTTCCGGAACTTCTTGCAAAGCATTCCAGAGTTGTGGGCAGTGGCCCTGGTGCTGTAACCCGGAGCCAGAAACAAGACCCAATTCCAGTGGTCACATGCTTCTCAATCGAAATCCTTGCAGTTGGGCTGCTCCTGTGTCCCAGAAGGACTGTAATTCAGCTGACGCTATGCAATCGGGCTCCGTGCGTAGAGAAGACCTTAAAGTGCCCAAAAGTCAGAACCCTAATTAGGCTACAACTTGGCTATGAGACTTGAACAAACCAACAAGCTGTAGGAATTCCCTTCGACTTTGACAGTCGTGGAGAGACTAAATTGGATCGAGGGTTGGAGGCTCTTCTAGAATGAAAGCTTTTCCCGAAACCAGCGAAACCAGCAGTTCACGACAGCTCAGCTTCTTTGTCCCTTGGCGTCTCAGCCTCCACCCTCCCGGACTATCTCAGAAGAGGCTCAAAGGGCAATCTGTCTCCGTATAAATCCCAGACCTCGATTAACGTGGAGCCTCACACAAAGGCACCTTTTCTCAAGAACATATCATTTTGGGAGTGGGGTAGTTCCACGAAATCTTGAGCTTTGAAGTGCTGATCATGCCTTGCCTGCTGATGCGAGGCTTTGCTTCAGGTCTTGTTCCGGGGCGGCTTTGCTCGAATGGCATGTGATAAGCTTCTGCTCAGAATACCTGCAACAGCAATGAAACACAATAAGTACAGCAGTAGTATGAATACATGGCTCTTGCCATGATTCTTGTAAGTTTGACTCCCCCCCCCCCCCCAAAGACCATTCATTGCAGGTTTGTGAACTGTCAAGACTTTCCAGATGCTTCATGCTGAGGGCAGGCTGCCGAAGACTTACTGGTGGTTAGTAGGGAATAAGGGTATGAATATGTATATATACATATATGCATGTATATATACATATGTAGGGATTTCGTAGGGATCATATTCCCTTAGTCCCTTCTACCCACTGCGACCAGTAAAGGAGATGCCACATTGAGCACTATGAGCCCAACTCCCTTTTTTGAGTCCTAGACCTGGCCATGGATTGACAGGGTTGTTGTTAAGGAACTTATTCTAAGTTACCAATTTAAATTTTATCGGTATGTAGGAAATAATCGAGTTTCTTAATTCTAGTACTTGGTGCTTCCCTTTTATAGCTATTAAAGCAACCTTAACAGCGACCCACTATTTTGGGAGAACCTTGTGTTTCCTCATCTGTGCGTCTTGCAACACAGACGACTCTTCTCTTGAAGCATGGCAATGGTCTACTTGTAGGCCACAGTCAGACTAAGGGCCATGCAAGGAATGCCCAGGAATCCAAGTCTTTCCTGTACCTTCAGTATGAAGAGACTCCAGATTGCTGTTTGAAATGTGCGCTTTGTGGCCGCATACCGAAGCCCAGATAATTCGCACGAATTGGTGTAATCACCTAGCAGTGGCAGCAGCAGCTTCCTGGCTATGCCGTCAACCTTGTGAAAATGGGTCGCTCGTGCAATTGGAAATCCTCTTCCGAGAAATTTGAGTAGCCATCTGCAGCTGCCGCAAAGTTCCAGGAAATGAATCGAACCGCCGGCTCCTACAACGTAGGCCAGGAACCTTGTGAGGGCTGCTGGTCTCTAAGACGCTTCCGTCCACTGTTTTGTAAAGATAAGCACGAAGGGCTCAATCCCCATAATCACTCGCCTAATCATAGCCTTCGTGCAGAACCAGGCGTGTATAGGGTTTGCAGCCGCTAGGTTTTTAGGACTTTCAGTTTTGAATAATGTGATGGGGTTACTGACAATCAAATCAGCGCCAAAGGTGCATTTCGACTGCATTCTGTTTGGGAGCGAAATATTGTCTACTAAGGGTCCACCATGCTCGGGATCCCCTGTTTGGAAACAACCACGTTGCCTGAAGGGTTGTTTGGCAAGCCATTAAATACATGGTTGCATTTGTGCAGTATGCATTTCTAGCAACCCAACATAAAATCAGACAACCCAACATCTCCGTATGCATTCTGCAGGCTTTACTGATGACCTGGTGCAGCTGTGCACACAAATGCGTGCCGCCTCCCCCTCTCGGCAGATCTTCTTGTCGGGCTTCTCCTTGGGAGGCGGGGGCGACCATTCGACTCTATATGACTCTGGGGGCAGGCAGTTTTTTGGTGTCGACCAAAAACTACCTAGAGGTATCATTCAGCATGAACTCAAGACTAGTTGACTGCATGGTAGTTGAATACTGGCCAGATGGATGCCAAGTAGTGCTTCCACGTTAGCGGGCTACCGTGCGTGCAATGGTAAGGATGAAATGGCCTATATATGATTGATGACCGCCGGTCTCCTCAGCATGACCCCGGACTACAATTTCCTTTGACCAGGACCTGGATGCCCTAGCTTCCCGGATCCAGTGTGGCCATGGATTTGCATGCCCGTGAGTCATGTCAAGATTTGAGGGCCAGTGACTCTCCCTTCAACATTTAGTTATCTAGGATGGATACTGGGGACTTTGGCCTGCCTTACTTTGTTGACTGCAGAGTGGAAAGGCAATGCCATTTGCAAGCTCATCGGCGAGCGTGGCGAGGACCTGGATGAGGAATTTGGGGCCCTCTCCAACTCTGGAATAGAGTTCAGGAAGCTCTCTCGATAGGGATCTTAGAGTACTTCAGGGGTCCCAAGCATAAGTTTGAGGCAATCCCATGTTGGGAGGATTTCCTGGAAGTATGTCTCCGGCGTGGAAATTTTGCCGCAACAGCTACCAACATATAGGAGCTTGGCAACCATGCCATGCAAACGCATGCTATGGTCTTTTGAGTCTGCAGGTCTAACAAGTGGTGGATGCGTTTAGTGGTGGATGCGTTTCTCCAGGTTCTCATCGTACCATCAGCTGGAGCTCGGTTGCTAGACCTGGGCTTGTACTTACGCGAACAAGCCATTCTCGCGGCAGTCAGAGTGTCAGCATGGGCAGTGATCAAAAGGAGCTTTACAGAATTGCGCACATGCGGCCGCTCTAACCGGCATGCAGCAGCATACCAATTCGAAGAGGGCTTCAGCAGAAGCCTGGATGACACTGAGGCTAGAGGAAACCAATGGAGAGCTGCATCAATGGTCCAACAGCATTCTGCCAGCAAGTTTGTGGCTCCAAAACCAAGCGCTGCATATCAAAAGGTGCATAAAAATCGGACATTCCTGAGTATCAACCCGAGAGCTCAGCCACCCTGTCTCCACCCTCGCTGCCAGTCCAGGACGTGATTTCATTGGGCATCGAGGGCGCTGCCGTTTGCAACGTCCCCTTCGAGCCTGAGGCGCCACATCATTGAATCCAACTACGTGGTTGGAACGAGTTGTCTGAACGCGTTCAAGAAACGTATGCTAGGAATTGTTCTACTTGTTCATTCCTATTGCGTAGCTGCTATCTTTTTGTCCCAGAGTTAGGCTGCACATTTCGGAGCCACGTCTTGGGGATCCCCCATGTCACCATGCATCACGGCGCATAGGGAGGGTTATCCGGGACTATGTAGGCATTGCCGTGGAGATAACCTTGAGTCAAAATTCCGAGTGAGTGGAGGTGACTTCAGCTGCCATGGACAGTGGCATGGGAGCCTTGACTGACCTAAGCTGGTAGAGGTTGTAGGATTTCATGCCCGGAGTTCAGACCGAAAGAGCATGGTAGCTTAATTGAGTGGAGCTTTTGTTGATGGCCTAAAGGCATTTTCGGAGGCAACGGATCAACAGAATCTTATGTCACGGTTGAATGACATTGTCTCAACCTGCGCAGGCATTCGTCGAGGGCGGAACCCCCCAGAAGGTAGCTGCTTACATGGTTAGGTCAAACGAGCCTTACCCGCCCTGTCATGACTGGTCAAGGTGCTTTCCAAAACCTCTCTAATGAAGAGCAGCAGCGAGCCCACTGCCTCCCTGAGCTTGGACCCAGGGACCTAGCTTGAGAATGCTTCAGTTGTCTTCATATCCTATTTGCTGTCCAAAATTCTCAGGGCTGAGACCTCCTGATCATAATTCTGAGTACACATACATGTGGTTCCATAAATAGGGGTCCCAATACTCCTGATTTTAGGGACCTCCAGAAGGGGAGAGCCCTACCCCTAATTTTAGGCACGACATATACCAGTGGCCTCTACTAATTGAGTTGTGTGACAGCATGAGCACCATCGATGACGCTCTGGAAATCTTGCACCACTCTACATAGCCCGAAGAATGTTAAGTACAGTGCTTTCGGGGTATTATGTGGCAGTATGTCGGGCAAGATTTCCTCCATCCACCCTATTGGTCCATGTGTCCAATATTTGAATGCTAGGATGTCTGATATTTCTAAGTATTCATAAATTTGGTACTTCAACACTTAGGGGTACAGGCGCGCTATACAGGCAAGATATGGCAACTGCTTCCCTGCTAAACGTCCGCAATGGCGCCTGTGCCAACATTCAGCCTGCTAAGGGCTATTCTACTCTTGGAACTTCTTGCGACTCAGCTGCAGCGTTAATGCTTTCATGCTATGAGTCCTTGAACCTCATCATTTTTCAAAATCCTCCGAGAACAGGGGCCCATGTTTTGGGCGACCCCCAACGGCCAACCAACAAGGCGCTCCCACTAGCTGGCAATAGCTCTCCATCAGGAGCGGATCCTAGTTCATATACGCAGGGCAGAACTTTTTTGAGTTTGAGTTCAGTTCAGCAAACGTGCAACTTACGGCTGTATTCGGCACTTCCATGAACTTTCTGCCATTCGTTGGCTGTGTGGTTTCCTCTATACCGTCTAACATCATGCTCAAACGCTCCGAACCATCTACTCCCATCACCTATCGGTTTTCTTCCGGATGCAGACTTCCAGCCACATGGTCGAAACTTTTAAGCGCTGTTCATGAATTCTGGGGTCCCGCTTCAAACAACAAGCTGTGAATCCCAAACCTAATGCTTGCTACATAAACTTCAATCCGAACCCAGAATATCCGGAGCAGCTTCCTATGTCTGTCAAACTGTCAGGAAGTCGCTGAAGCCAAAAGCGCAAGAGAAAGCCGAGATGCTGAAAGCGCGAGGTGGCCCCACTCGGGATTTACTCACATGATCTCCACATGATGCCACATAATCTCCTCAGGATCCCCATGCATTCGTAGTAAGCCGCTGCATAATTAGCGTATGATTTGCTTTGTTCTCCAAGCATGGGTTCTGTTGGATACCTCTTTCTGGTGCAGCACCTTTTTATGTTCAAGCACAAAATGAGCCCATGTTGGGAAACTAGCCCTCTAAAGCGGGGCCTACGTGATTCAAACAGTGCTTCTACGTGGAATGTTAAGGAGGCAAAGTTGCAGGATGCGGAGCACGAATAGGAATATGCTTCTCGCACTTCTAGACTCTGGCTAGTGACACCTGTTGTTAGGATGATTTGGGGCAAGTTGAACTTCAGTTGTCCTTTCAAGGGCATTTATCCGCGTAACCTTTGAAACCGGCCCTTTTTTGCAACTGGATCCAAACATCCTGCCCAGCTTCAACATGTTCTGAACCAATGCGCTGCAGACAGGGGAATCTATTTACAGAATGTCCTGGGCTACCTAGCCTTGGTGCGAGCTACGTGGCAATGTTCCATTCAAAGGGCCCGGGCCAGAGTCCACATCCATTGGCCTGCCCCGAGTCATAACACATAGGCTCCCATGCCGGGTATTGGAGAGAAAGAGTCCTGGTCCGGAGCGCTTTGGGGCGGATACTTGGTGCGTCGGTAGTTTAAATTCACAACTCAGCAGCACAACAGGAGAGCTGGTCCCCTACGACGTGGACAAAGTCCTGCGGGCTGAAACGGTCGGCGACTTCGACGACGCTTGCGTTGCGCCCCTGCACCTGGCCTCAGCAGCAGAGTATCGTTTGCGTTTTTGGCTGTTTAGACTTGCAATGTCCTTGTCGCCAGAATCCTGACAGACTGTTTATCGGACACATGCAAGTAAAGAGTCAGCCAGCGCTGCATTTCTAGGAATGTAGAGCCATGGCAAAGACGAATGAAACACCGCCGCATTTTACTCAACAGTAGTTTGTAGTAGGCCTAGATGCATTGCATAACCGGTTTTTTGGAATAGGATATTCAGGGGAAGTTGGCAGCAACAGCGCCATTTACGCGGCAATAGCTACTGCATTTGAAACATGTCCAAAAAGGGTCCTAATCGTCTTCTCCTTATTCTGGCCCCTGCCAGCCTAGTTTCTCTGTAACTTGAAGCCCTGCTCCAAGGTATGGCTTCAAAGACAAGCTGGACTACTATCGAACTCAGGGATGCATGCGTTTTCTGCCTCTTGGCTTAGCCCTAGATAAAAGTATGATGGGAAGTCAAAGGCAGCATGTAGTTTTGTGCAGGTGGTTTGATGCCAGATAAGCTGACCTCATCAATGAAGACCTTGATAAACAAGAATATACATTCAGATGCACTATAGTCCTTAGCGTAGTGATACCACGAAAAGACACCAGATTTATGGAAACCCCTCTGAAGCGAAGCCTGGTTGTCAACTTCCTGATTCCTTGCGTGGGCCTGAATTTTGGCTGGAATGCAGCTTAGCCCATCACCGGTGCCGGCATCTATTGGCGTCCTGTGTGATTCAGATGCAGCTGTGCCGTGGAGCCCTCTCTCGAATCATAAGCATGAAGAGGGGGATGCAAATACAGGCGCAGTCCGGCTTCAGATGCTCCGCACAATTTCCCGCGCGTTCACAGCGCAGCATGCGCATGGTAGCTGTTCGTGATGACCCTGCCGAGCACGTGGCTCCGCCGACGAAGGAGAGGGGGCGTGTTGAGAGAAGCCATCTTTCTCAGCTCATGCAGCCCCACTTGACAGGGAAGATGTACGGGAAGTATCTTCGCCAAGTCGTCAGGGATGAATTTGTGATCGCGCCCAATCAGGAGGACAGCCCAACATGCTACGCGCATGCCATCGCCTCTGCCGTTCATCATGCGGCCCTGCGGGTCGTAGGGCGCGATGGTCCGCAGCCAGAGTTTACACAAATTCGCGACGGCATCATCAGACGATTCGACAGAAAGGCCAGTAGGCCTACATCCAAAGTGTTGGACTATGCTTGCAAGAAGTACAACTTACGCCGCTGTGCAGCAGTGCAAGCAGGTCGTCCAGTAGTGGCAACATTTGATCTCTCGGAGCAAGGCTGGGACAAGTTCAACGATTTCTTTAAGCGCAAGCCGAGGGGCGTGCTATGCGCCAAAGATATTCGCAGTGTGTGTGACGATCTCGTAGAGGGGCATGTTCTTCTTGTGCATGTGAGTGAGAATTACATGACATTCATGAACTCTTGGGGTCCTGCTTTCGCTGATTTTTCAAAGTGGCCGGCCCATGGGTGTTGTCCGACATGGAGAAGATGGAGTTTTTTGATGTCTTCTGGGCGATCTTTCGGCAGAAGAGCAGTCTAGATATCGTAGGTTGCTCAAACAAAGCTGACTTTCAAGATTAGAAAGCCACTTCAGCATGCGGTGCCCCGCAGTGCCTATTTCTGACCAACTGCACGCGCTGCCCCGCCGTGCGGACGTAGATGGTCTATTTAAAAGAACAGCGCTTGTTCTGCCAAAAGACTTGTCTTGAAAGAGGTTATAGGGCGGTACAAAGCTTCCGCTTGGCTACCACTGTAATTTTGCACCTCACTGCTTGAGTCCTCCAACAAGACCCTCGTTTCGCAAAGTTACCTGGTAGCTATGGACGGGTTCTAAGTAGAAGAAGTTTATTATAGTTATCAGCTTATAACCCATCTACTAGGTATAGTTGGGCGGGGTTCCTATATAGAAGAATAACCCATGTGATAGGTGAATTTACGTTAAACAAAAATTACCAGTACCCAGGAGCTGTCAAGTTCCCAACCTGGCGGAATGAAGCCCCAAGATTCCTACGGGTGGAGAGTTGGAAATAAGGGAATACATTACATAATCCCCATAAATCCCTATATATTACAATGCGTATACAACCCCTATATAATCCCCATATGATAGATTCCCTTATACCCTACTAACCGCCTGTAAGTAGAGTTCTCAGGAAAGATGTTCGAGTGCCAGTGCTGGCAATGAACGCCAAGGATGACCCTTTGGTCGATGCAACGAGCCTGGTCTGTTAGTTAGCATGAAGGTCAATTCCTGGCATGTGGACAGTTTCTGCTGTTGGGGGTCCATTTTAGTACTTTGAGGGGCCGACAACTTTCATAATAGCTCATGTAGCATTTTAAGATCTGTACATTTGCCTTGAAGTTTGTTTCGGCCTTCTTCTTCTTCTCGGTTCGCAAGTTTCGAGCGCCAGTACTCACCAAATAATAAAGGAACCGTTGCACCCAGAACGTCCCCAGCAGTTTTGGAGATAAACGCGCCCAAACCCCTTCACACCAATGTTGTTTCTTGGATCCTTCAACCAATAGAGCCAAGAAGCCCCACAATGAGTGGCGAGCCGAGTTGCCAGCTTTGGAACCCCGGAACTTGCACACTACACACCAAGCCCCTTCAAACCCCCCGCAGACCAGGCTCTATCCACCCTACATCCCCTGAAAAGCAGTGCAACCAAGGAGCCTTCCCACTGAAGAGCAGGTGTCTGAAGCTGTTCTTCTGTGCCTGGTCGGAAATGCTTTGACCATTGGCTTTGGGATTGCTGTCTTGGGTTCAGGGTGTAGGGTAGGGATGAGTCTCTTGACCCTGGTTAAATGTTCAAGCGAAGAGGGTAGCTTGAAGCCGAGGACTGGCTTTGGGATGAGTTTTAGGTCTTTAATTTGAAGGCGTGGCTGTGGAGCCTGAGCATGTTTACGGACGCAGCTTCGCAGGCATGGTGGCGCGTGCTGTGTGATGCCGGGTGTTAGGAACAGTTTTTAGACACTGTACTTAGTTGACAAGGGGCTGACATCCTCGTACTGTGAAATTGCGTTTCTTTGTATCTCGGAGTAAGGTACTACCCCGAGTTTGGCGGCCACTGCGGCTTCATCTCAGATGCTTCTCAGATGCACAAGGGTTGCACGGCTCATGTTCCTGCAAATTGCACAGTTTATCCCAGTCCTTCGTAGCACAGAGCTGGCGCTTAAGGAGTCCGCTGACGATCCACGGAACTACTGCCCGAAGCTGCTTGCATCCTTTCTCCGGCACGTGTACGACTCAAGGAAAAACTTTCCAATTTGCATGTCATGTCAATTTGGCACTGACTGATTTTCGGGATCACAGTTTTGCATCAGCTATGAGGTTCCACTGTGCGGGGGGCAGACAGGGTCATTGCGGGGTGCTGAGACAGAAGACCGGGACACATGCCATGGAATCAAGACATCCTGGTCCGGAACAGCCTGAGACTGTGTTGAACCCGGTTTGGTTCATGGGAAGTTCAAAGTAGGGTTGGAAGTTCAGCTATATAGGGTAATACCTCGGGTTATCCAGAGTAAATATCCTGAGGAAATACAACCCACTTAAAGCTGCCAATGAATCTCCAAGCAAGGCCTAGAAGATGAGATGCTATCGTTGCCTGCGGGGTTTACATAACTTTGTAGGGATGGGTACGAAGTTCCTAAAAGGGTTCATCTGAAAAGCATGAAGCAAGGCAAAACTGGTGCCTTCTCCTTTGGAAGGAGATTTGGGTATTTCCAAAGGGGGCCCCCGACTATACGCCAAAACGCTAAATAAAATCCTCATTATTAGGACCGCTCCCCAACACGACTGACCTCTGGAAGCCTTGAACCCGATGTATCGGTAAACCACCAAAACATCCCCGAAAGTCTGATATACTCCCCAATCACATCCATGTATAGCCCTTTGAATTCTTTGTCTCGGCTCGCAGCCATAGACCTGAGTATGAGGGATTCGACAAAACGCTTCGTCGGCACCAGGTCGGGGGGGCATGGCTTATCCCTAAGGGGTCCAGGAAGCCATTCATTGGGTTATAGGATACATGGGGGCATATATAAGGATGTGCAAGGATACGTAGGTTTTTGGGTCCAAGTACCCAGATAGCAAGGTTTTAGGTCCCAACTACTATCATCTGCAGGGTTTTGGGACTGCTAACTTGGACCCTGAAATAATCCTGATGGGGTGGCTGTGAAGCTTAGGGTCCCTTCTTTAGCAACCCAGCCCCTAGTATGGGCATGATCTGTCTTATACTCTTCAGATGGCTTGGACTGACTGAGCAATCCTGGTTTCAAGAATCCTTGTTATAGCGCTTTCTTTCCCAGGAGGCTGGGACCTCTGCTCTTGAATGCAGATAGAATCCACGTGATCCTGGCGGACATACTTGCAACGGCACAAGCCCGACAGCCTCAAACCCACAGCCCTAGAACCAACATCTAACTAGATGATGGCAGGTACTCATGGAGAAGATGCTGGTAGCTCAGGATGTTACAGACTAGGAAGACCATCTCCACCTGAGCATGTCTGAGCATGTGCTTTCGCAGGAGGTAGCCACGGTGTTAGTTGTGTAGCATACCCGCGTTCTTCGTTACGCCTGTGAGCCTGCAAAGACAAAGGTTTCTAAGCTTCAATGAGGGCATCAATGACAAGCTCCAGTTCGTTCAGGAGGCAACGGCAGCATACTGGAGAGGGAGTCGTGATGGGGCTATCAGAGCAGGCTTAGTTGAGGTTTGGTTGCCTGCGCTGGCATAGTTGCTCCAGCTCCCAAAACGTGCATCATACCAAGTTTGTCATTAGCCCAAATGTAAACTCGATGCGTGTGGCCGCCAAGGGACACCTTGAAAGCTTTGCGGTTCTTGGTCTTTCTGGTCGCCCAAGCTACGAAATCTAGATGCCAGCGCTCTCAATATGCCAACTCCATGCCAGAGTCCACCTCAAGGCATGATGAAGCAGAAGCCGCCTTGCGTGGCCCTGTGCCTCTTGAACCTCATAACTTACGGTGGTTAGAAGACAACAAACAAAATGAGGGCAATACAGACATGATGCAGGGACTGCTGTCAGGATCGATTCCTCCGTTCCCTACCAACCACCAGTAAGCCATTCTCCTTGCAGGATGAAGCCGAGACGATGGAGATGCTCAAGAAGGCTGACACAAAACGGCTGCGTGTGATTAGGAGTTGTTTTTTTTAGGTGACCGGCCAAGTTGCAGGGTAAAACAAACCAGCTGCTTGCCAGGGGCTGTTTTCAAATTTATTGTAGTCCGTTCCTTGCTCCTTGCCTTCCTTCCAGCTATATCTTCACTTCCAGCTGCATAAAACTGAGCCGGCCCTAACACTCAAACATAATTTTGCGAAGATAGTGGTACGTAGGTGTTATGTTAGGATCCCTCCCTGTACTCTTGGCATACCGCCATTAACAGGTGAGAGGATAACCGCGTGTTCCCGCACCCATCCTGTCAGCAGGACCTGCCTCTGCAGTATACGCCCCAGGCTCAGAAGTGCAAACTGCTGGAGCCAGGAGTCCCCAACATTCATGACATGGAAATTGGGGTTATAGGAGCTATAGTCTAAACGCCTTAGAGGAGGCTGTATAGGGGAGTATATATTTATTGGACTATTATAGGGTTTATTAAGGGGGATACTGGGAGTTTAGACTATAGCTCAAATGCTTCCTGATTTTTCTCATGAGCCATATAGGTGGATTTCTCAGAGGTCTGGATCACTGGCTGGGTTTCGTGCGACTTGCGGGCCGAAAGAGGATGATGGCCGGAGACAATCCACATTTTTCTCAGATTCCTGTAATACGTATAGTCTACCTGACTGAGGACCGCTCCCTCAAGTGCTGACATATATTTCGTTTGTTCGCTTTAACGGGCCCAGGCGAGTTCAAGGCCCGCCCCGGCCGAAACAGCACACATGCCGCAGAATATCACAGCTGTTGTAGAACATGCCTGTGCTAGCGGACTTACACCTAGCATGAGCGTTGTGGAGACACCCGAGGTGGAGCGTATGGGAACAAGTGACCTCGGATGGGAAAGTCGACGCAAACTACTCGCAGAGGACGCAGAAGGCTTTCATTTTCCGTGTGAGCAGGCATGAATATTTGCTAAGCTTCACGGAGCTGGACAAGTTATAATGCTCCCACCCAACCTCATGCGAAATGCTGATTTATTCGGAACATGGTCCCAGATTGGCCTAGTTGGAAGATCTGAAATTATAATTCACTCTGAACTGGCCGGCAACAGAATATCGTACATGGGATGCCTCCAAGCAAGTTGGCGAGGTCCCTGCTGGATTCCCTCAGAATGTGCCATGTCCAATAACTAAATGAGCAGTAGCAGTATCTGCGCTCTTCAAGGGTTGCTGCAAAGTTTCAGGTATTTGTCAAGGAGCATGGTCAGGCAGATGTGGTACGGTTGGGAAGCATCCACCTATTAAAAGCATGACTCGCAAGAACCTCTGAGATCGGTCACCCAAACACGTGTTTCCTAGTCTATTGGGGTTGTAGGGATGAGGGAAAAGAAAATGGAAACTACTATAGTATAAGTGGGTTACATAGGGATAATGGAAAAGAAAATGAAACTACAGGTAGCTTGTAAGTTTCCCTCCAGGCGATTTATCCCAAACGGTATTCAACCTAGGCTGGAGTATGCCGACTGGAGTGAATCAACCTCTGAATAAGGTACGTCGACCTTCCATGGCTTCTTGGCGATAAGGACTCCGAGGTCTTCATGGTTTTAAAGAACATCTGCCCATTTGGGTCTCCAGAACCCAGTGACTCTACGCCGGTAGCAGGGAGATCTGAGGGCAGTACATGTCAACAATTGTCACATGTTTTCATTTCTCTCTCTCCCTCTCTCTCTAATCAGCTTCAGGACTGCCTAGCCATTCTATAACTTCTTGCCTATTAGCACGTAGCACTGTAGATTGCGCACACCCAGGTCAGGCTCATCCAACCCCCGGTCAAGTCGTTTGGAAAAATCCATTTTGTAAAGCCAGCCTTTTTTGAGTGGAGGTGGCAAGCTTCGGCACCGTCCAGGATTTCTGGAGGCTGGAACTTCTGCATGGTTGAAGTTGTAAATACACGCAGTTTGGT